CAGTCAGCGACCTGGGCACTGATACAGGGCTGCCAGGCTGACCTGGAGTGGGCCTGCTGAGTAGCCAATGTTCTCGTCATCATGCAGAACCCTCAAATGTGCCAGGGCACTGCCACTGGGCTTGCTTACCTGGCATCATCTTGGCCAGGGTGAAGAGGGTGGAGTCGTTGGCTACAAAGCAGGAGGAAAACAAGAGTGCTGCATCTTTGCCATGGAGGTCGGCCAGCTCCTGCTCCAGGTCCACGTGGAACTTGCTGGTGCCAGAAATATTCCTGGTTCCACCAGCTCCGGCCCCGTGCTGCTTCACGGTCTCCCTGTTGAAAATAAAATACCAATAACTCCAGGAAAAAAAAAAAAAGACATAATTGAGTTCACAGTTAACTGTGGACTAGCTTGCACTATGTGGCAACCTATCTCACAAAAGCAAACAAAGATGAAAAAAACTATTCTATCATTGAAAAATCAAACATTACCACATTTCAATTGTGTTCCATTTGGTAACATTGAAAGAAATGCCCATCTTATTGTCAGTGTCAACCCTATGGGGAGCATCACTTCAAGCATCTTCTGTTATAAGGATTTTAATTGGCTAGTGGTTGACATTAAGATAACATCTAGCAGGAATGTTCATGATGCCATACTCAGATATTACACTGGATAAATCTCATTTTCTATCTTTTAATTCAGAAATGAATATAGTTCAATTGTGGCTATTGTCAGTTCAGTGGGTATTATCAACCTTCTGTGGAGTCAGGCAATTCGATCACTAAGGTCCTAGTTTGCAGATTAATTTCAATTATTTTACTCTATCATTTATGTTGTTTTTTTATCTAGCATATAATGAGTCAATAAACTTTATATTCTCAATAAGACAACTACAATTGCACGCTGCCAAGCCTCTAAAACAGAAAGTCTGCACACTTCTCAGAGTTGCCTGTCTATGTGCTTAGAGGAATGTGTGTTACCCACAAGATGGGTATCCATTTGTCATAAAATGTAAGTTCTTGCATAAATGTGGAATACAACAAGGAGAGAAGATAGGGAAGTGACATGCTCTTTTCAGTGGCCCTGGGGATCTGTAAGTAATATTGCAGCAGCTGATTAATGTCCAGGAAAGAGCATGGAGTCCTATAATTGCCTATGTTTTGATGTGAAATCTAACTCTGTAGTGGATCTCCAGGAAGGAAACAGAGAATAAAGTCTCCATTCTTACTTTTCCACAAAAATACAAATTCCAATGAGAATGTACTGACCGAGGTTTCTTATGTGAATTCCAGGACACAGTTATGTACTTGCTTTGTATGCAGAGGGTCTGGTCGTTTTGTGTGTGTGTGTGTGTGTGTGTGTGTGTGTGTGTGTGTGTCCTAATAATGGGAGCAGGTGTGTGTGTGTGTGTGTGTGTGTGTGTGTGTGTGTGTGTATGTATGTGTCCTAATAATAGGAACAGGGGCTGTTTCTGACTCTTTTGCCTGTGACCCTTTTCTGCCTACTGAGTTGCCACCTCCAGCCTTGATATGAGAGTTTGTGCCTAGTCTTATTGCATCATGTTACTCCATGTTCAATAAATATCACTGGGAGGCCTTATCTTTTCTGAAGGTGAAAAGAAGAGCAGCAGATCTGGGGTAGAGGGCATGGTGGTCAGGATGTATTGCATGAAAGTAGAATTTAAAAAAATGATTTTTTTTGTTTTGTTTGTTTGTTTGTTTTTTGCTTTGTCCAAACAGCAGAAAACCTGGAATGGAAATACTGACAACAGGAAAACTTTTAATGTCCCCCTATCATCTGAACCCTCACACATGCATGGATGAGGGCTGAGAGTTCATCTGCCCTAACTTCAGTCAGAAAGGAGGGAAGGAGAGGGAATATATTCTTGGATTCTTGTCCCTTGGCATGCTTGCTAAATGCCTTGTATCATTGCTGCCTTGCCTTTCACAGCCATGAAGGAGGCAGAAGAGAATACATGCCTCTGACACCCATGAACAACCATAAATGTGAGTGGTTTCTCTACTAGTGGTATGGCTCTGGGGAATTATGAATGGATAGAGAATTAAGTCTTCCAGGAGCATGAGGGACATACCTATGTAATCTGCAAACACCCAGAGCTTTACACTTACACTGGTTGCAGTTTATGTAGTACATCACAGTGATTACTCAAGGAACCAGCACCTCTGAACAGTAATTCTAACAAGAATATTCATATTTATGATATATAGGCATATATTTATGTACACATATTACATCCATGTTTTCGAGTTGTAAAATTGACAATACTTTGATGTAAAAATCATGATTTGGAGGTGAACTCCAGAACAGTGACAGGATAACAAATCACTGAGGAAATAAAGGCCACCAGTGAGGAGGGACATAAGCAGGTAATCTATGAACACATCAATGTAAATCATAATTCTGTACATTGAGAAAATATAATTAAAAACATCATCTTTAATGCTATTGAAAATGATAGAAATATCAAGAAGATTAAAATGTTCAAGCTCAAAGTATGGAGTAAGAGTAATATTTAGCTTTATATTTGCTATTTAAGTTCCATTACATTAAATACTCACTATAGTATGAGTGTTCCTGTGGCATACTCCAGGGTTGGTGCTTTCAGACATATCCACAGTACATTTATTATGGCTGATATTTAAAACTATGTCTGCTTGACAACTGCTAATGCTGAGTAAATTCTCCCGTATTGTTGTTGATTATTTTTACTCTTAGCTCTTTTGGGGGGCCTGCCACCCAGCTGCCAAATAAATCACGTGTGTGGAGGCTTATTTTTACTAATAAATGCCAGCCTTAGCTTGGCTTATTTTTTGCCAGCTTTTCTTAACTTAAATTATCCTGCCTATCTTTTGTCTTTGGGTTTAACTTTTCTTGCTTCTTTATGTGTTACTTTCACTCTTACTCCATGGTCGGCTGTGTGGCTGGTTGCCTGGTCCCAGGAGTCTTCCTCCTTCTCTCCATCCTCAATCTCTCTTTTTCTCCTTCTATTTATTCTCTCTGCCTACCAGCCCCTCCTATCCTTTCTCCTGCCTTGCTATTGGCCATTCAGCTCTTTAGTAGACCAATCAGGTGTTTTAAACAGCCACATAGCACAGCTTCACAGAGTTAATCAAATGCAGCATAAAGGAATGGAACATATCCTTGCCTCATTAACCAAATGTTCCACAGCATCCAAAAATGTGACACATTTTAAATTAACATTCAACAACAGAAATTTATACTGCTTAACTCCAGTCGTGTTCTTCATGGGAATTTTTTCAGTGTCATAAAAATGGTAGTTGAGCCGGGCGTCGGTGGCGCACGCCTTTAATCCCAGTACTAGGGAGGCAGAGCCAGTCGGATCTCTGTGAGTTCGAGGCCAGCCTGGGCTACCAAGTGAGCTCCAAGAAAGGCGCAAAGCTACGCAGAGAAGCCCTGTCTCAAAAAACAAAAAACAAAAAACAAAAAAAAAAGAAAAGAAAGAAAGAAAAAAATGGTAGTTGAAGGAGACTACCCAACCATGTTAGTCAATTTCCCTCTTACAAGAAGATAAGATGATGACCTACAGAAAACATCACCATTGTCCTTTTCTTTTATTACCATTCTTTTTCTCTCTTATGTGTACACTCGTGGGTGTGTTTATGTGTATCCAGGCAAATATTTAAGTGTGTGTGTACATGTGAGGTAGAATGTGTGGAAGACAGAGCTAGCTAAATGTCATTGTCTTCAATCTTCACAGTGGTTTCTGAAAAATGGAGAAACCTGGAGGTCGCTGGTCTCATTAGCCTCCCTAGCCAGCAACCTCTAGAGGTGCTAACATCTCACCACAGCCAGACCCACAGGTTTGTGCTCTCATGCCTGGCTTTTTATGTGAGTGCTGAGCATATAACCTTAGGTTCTCATGACTACTCAGCCCTATCCCCTGTTTATTATTTTCTAATTTTATATATGCCATTTAGGGTTCTTGCTTTTAATTCTTTTAAATATTTTTATTCTAAATATTGACAATTTGCCAATCAATAAGTTTCATTGACTTGGATTGAAAATTTCAGCACTCATGGAAGTAGAAATATTCAAAAACAATCTAAACATGATTGTTATTTTAATATTAATATTGCCAATCCACCACTTAAACTACTTAAGTAGGAATTTGTTTCCTGGCCTTCAAACTACATCACTTAGGCAGCCTTCCACACAACTGTTCATTCTTCAAATTACGGCATATGCCTGACAAGCATCAGTAAAGAGTTTGAATAGTCATTGTGTTGAGTTTTTTTTCCTTTGAAACTTCAAGCTACATCACATTTATTTACCATGTTATTTCAGCTTGGGGAACCATTTTAAGAACTAGAAATAGGAACATAAATGACATGTAAAAATTTCATCAGCCAGTCAGAGAAGTGTTTTCCTATTTTCACATCATACCATGTAATGAAACATAACAGTGTGAAACCACTAAGTTGAAAGAAACTGTGTGTGGCCTGCCTGAAAGGAGAATTGGCCTTTTACAATATGTCAATCATAGTTAAAAGGTAATGCTTTGTGTGGGAATTACTTTACCACAAGCTTCACAGGAAGATTTGTATCTTTGATACTTTGATTATTAAATAAGTATCTGGACATATTCTCAATTAGTCTTTTATTTTTACTATGGAGAAAAAAATGAGATTTGTTAGTGAAAAACTTAGTTAAATTAAAATGATTGTTTTGATGATCTCTTACTAAAAATTGCATCATTGACAAATCCACATTTCCCCAAAGCTTTACTGAGTGATTTGCATATACTATACTATTTTATTGACAAAAGTATATGACTGTACTGTCTTTTTTGTTTTGTTTTGTTTTCTTAACGAACAAACTAAGACTTTAAGGATGTTAGGTGATTTTTTTTTGTTTAGGAACACAAAATGAATTATTGAGCTGGAACCCAGCATACTCCTATTTACCATGACAAACATAAAACAGTCTCTATATTAACAAGATCAAGTAAATCATTAAGTTTGAAAAAATATTACTAATAAATTAAATTTCTAGGAAAGTAGTCCAGTATTTAAAAAACAAGGGAGAGAAATAACTTTTTTTATAAAAAGATTTGTGAGGAGTATGGCATTTCAGATGAGGGCTAAATATAGGTTTAAAATAATATGAATAAGAATTAGTGAATGAATAAGTAAATGAAGAGAATTGAATGGTGAATAGATAGTGTGACCTCATAGCAACTTTCTCCATTGTCCTGTCAGAACCATCTGAATCCCATTTCATTGTTGTAATCTGATGAAATCAATGTAGTTTTCATACCCTGAATTGTGTATAAATTGCTAGCCTCAGGCATCCTGAATACCAAGATCATCCTCCTTCCACATCTGACTCCTTTGTTTCAACAACAAATATCAACTTTACAATGCTTCTTAATCAATATTTAGTCTCAGGATCAGTAGTATCTGTTTTCTTAAAGTCTAAGAAGGAAAGCACTTGAGTGTCAGATCCTGTATATGTATTGGTCTTCCAATTAATCTGTATTCAGAGATGTGGTTAGGACCCTTTACATCAAATTATTAAACAGAGTAAGGTGCTTTGCTCATGTGCTTCTGGTTCTGAGGTTTGGTTTAAAGCAGCACCAGAATATGATTGATTCTGGAAGACCTCAGAGAATACTGCTCTGAATAACATTATCTTAAAGCAAACCTCTGAGACTCTTGAAAAAAATGACTGCCCATGGCAGCTTCATTCCAGCCAAACCTGGAATCTGAATGTTCCAGTCAAAGGTGGTCTTACGCCAGCTTAGAAGATGTTGCCCTCATCTTTAGGTGCCTCTCTTGCCAACCTGGTTGGTTCCTTGCTTATAGATGTCTTCCTGCCATTTAACATCCATTGAGCAGAACAATTTTCAAGACAGCATTGGATGAGCCTAGAAGTCACTTGATTGAAGGCATGAGATCATTGCATATAAATAAGGTAAATGCAGCTGGTTGGCTCATTAAATTAATCATGACTGGTTCACCAATTAATCAACAATAAATTTCACATATTTTTAATTTAAATTTTATGAGATTTTTGCAAATACAAGAGATGGAGTGTTAATAGTTACTACATGTCAAATCAGACAAGGAAATATCCTAGATTCTGACAAATTTTCCTTGTCACAAAGCATTTTTCTCAACTTTTCTCAACAGTATTTTTCAGTTGTGAAAAACAGGAAAACAAGGAGTAAATGAGGGACAGCTAGGTCGTTCTAATCTGAGCACTCTTCACTATAACAAGGTTGAGCACTTTCTTGATTTACAAAATATTGGGTTTGCTAGGGAGAAAAATCTTCACAGTTAAAGCCAATCAATCCAGTCAATATTCTAGCAAAGAGCAGGAAAGTACTCACAAACCAAAACCTCCAACAAAAGAGCTATGGATAGTTCATGGCTTTTATGGTAGGGAGATCCAGTTTTCTTTATGTGTGAAAATTTTCATAGGTCAGCTGCATTCTAGTGTGTAGCCACACTTCCAGGAATATTTGAACAACACAAATTGGGATAAATTTGTAATTAAAAATAAAAAGGAGGACAAAACATTGGGTGTACGGGAGTTGAGTAGATTGGGGAGGAGTCTAAGAAGAAAGTAAATATCATCAAAGCATAGTATATGAAATTCTCAAAATTAATAAAGTGGGAATGGGGGGTGGGGTGGGGGGAAGGAGGGGGGGCAGGAGGGGGGAGAACAAGGGACCCATGGCTGATGTGTAGAACTGAATGGTATTGTAAAATAAAATAAAAGGGAAAAAAAAGAACAAAAAATTTTCAAATATATATTTTTTGTTCTCATTTGTTTAACCATGTAGACTTGGGTGTCTCTTTATTCTTGTGGGGAAGTATTGACAAAAAAACTAATATTCAATATATATAAAGTACTCATGGATCTCAATATCACAAAACCATTAACTTAAAATGAAGAAAAGAGAATTCTCAATAGAGGCCTCTCAAATGGCTGAGAAACACTTAAAGAAATGTTCAACATCCTTAGCCATCAGAGAAATTCCTACCAAAATGACTCTGAGATTCCATATTACACCTGTTAGAATGGCTAAGATCAAAAACACAAGTGACAGCTCATGCTGGAAAGGATGTGGATCCCCCATTGATGGTGGTAGTGCAAACTTTTACAGCAGCATTAGAAATCAGTTCAGACAATTGAAACTTGATCTACCCCAAGGCCCAGCTATATCACTCTTGGTCATCAACCCAAAGGATTCTCAATCATGCCACAAGGACATTTGCTCAACTTTGTTCATAGCAGCTTTTTTTTTAAATAGCCAGGACCTGGAAACAACCAAGATTTCCCTCAACCAAAGAATGGATAAAGAAAATGGGATACATTTACAGAATGGAGTATTACTAAGCTGCTAAAAACAACAACATTGTGAAATTCACAGCAAGTGGATGGGATAGAAAAAAATCATAGTGAGGTAACACATACCTAGAAAAAAAGAACATGGTATGTACTCACTTCTAAGTAGATATTAGCTGTAATGTGAAGGATAACCATGGTACAACCCAGAGGTTCCATAAGAAGGAGGACTCAAACTATATCCCTGGGGAAGGGAAATAGAAGAGATCTTGTGGGTGGACTGGGCACAGGTGGGGATGGGAACAAGAGATGGGAACAGGTTGAGGAGTGGATGGAGGGGGAGAGTACTGAAGGAGATGGCTAGAAAGGGGGGATTTCAGGTCAGGTAGAAACCTGGTACAAAGGAAACTCCTAGTAATCTAAAAGGATGATCCTAGCTAAGACTCCCAGCCATAGTGGCTACATAACCTGAACTGACCATCCCCTGTGACCAAGTAAGACTTCCAGTGGAGGGATAGGAACAATAACCCAGCCATAAAACCTTTGACCTACTGTTTGCCCTGCCTATGAGATGTGCCGGGGTAAGGGTGGCT